GTGTCTACTCCGTCTCGTGTCTACTCCGTCCTCCGCCTACTTCGTCCTCAGTCTACTCCATCCTCCCCCTACTCCGTCCTCCGTCTACTCCGTCCTCTGTCTACTCGGTCCTATGAGTCGGAATCGAGTTGACAGCAGTGGTTTGTTTTTTGGCTACTTTCTTGTTAATAGAAAAAACAAACAAACTAGCATTTATGATAGTTGAATAATGAAGACCTATCATCAGAAGGGGGTGTCCCTGGAGAAGAATATTATGTTTGGGAAAATGCAGGGTCAGAGAAAATGAGGAAGACCCTCAACAAGATGAACTGGCACAGTGGCAGCAGCAATGGGCTCAAATGTCACAAGAATTGTGAGGATGGCGTAGAACCGGGCAGTGTTTCGTTCTGTTGTTCATAGGGTCACTATGAGTCAGTACCGACTTGATGGCACCTAACGACAACAACAACAATTATGAGGAATCCTTGGGTAGGGTAAATGGCGAAAGGACTCTGCTGTTAACTGAAAGGCTGGAGGTTCGAGTCTACCCAGAGGCACCTTAGAAGACAGGTCTGGTGATCTGCTTCTCCAGGGTCCCAGTCTTGAAAGCCCTACGGAGCCCAGTTCTGTTCTGACACAAGGGGTCTCATTGTCACCAACTGGTAGATCTTCTCAAACTTGGAGAAAAGTTGTATCTAGGAACTAGGGTTACTAAATAGAAGTACCACAAGTGCATTGTTGTTCAATGCTGTCAAGTCAATTCCAACCCATAGCGACCCTAAAATATAGACATTTTTCATCTCAGGGTTTAGGAGGTACGGCTCTGGGAAGGTCTTTGATGCTCTTCAGCCTCGGCTTCTTGGCTCCTTGGAGCTCTCATATGGTAGGCACCTGTCTCCCCCTAGCTCTCCTGGCTTGCTTGCTCCTCCCAAGGTTGGTGTAAGAAACATCCAAAGTGAATCCTGCCTAACACATATAACCGAGAAAATCTGTTCCCAAATGTAAGTATAACCATTATAGAGGTTCATTAGAATTCATGACATATTTTAGGGAACACAATTCAATCCATATCACATTGCCAAATTCACACTCCTGCAACGTCCCCCACTCCAATCTGAGCAGCCGTTCCCTCGGAAGACTGAAGACAAGAACATGCAAGTCCAAGAAGAAGAGAGGCGCATGTGCCCAGCTGTCTCTTTGTGACTTAAAAAAGTCCACACAGCTTCCATAGAAGTCCCCTCATCTTTTGTCCTACGTGTCTTTGCCTGCTATTTCCCTCAACTCCCTGCCTTCTCTTATACATTGAATTGTGCCCACCCCACCCCCAAAAAAATATATGTTGGAATCCTCACCTCGCTACCTGTGGAATGGCGTCCTGGTGGGGTGCCGTAGGATAAAGCACTGAACTGCAAAGGTGGTTTGAACAGCAACCTTCAAACTCACCCTATCCAGGGTGGCTAACAACAACACCTGTGGATGAAATGTGGTCGTCTTGGTTATGGTAACGAGGCCTTATCAGTTAGGGTGGGTGATTGCTGAGCTGGGAGGAGCAGGAGGGAAAACCAAAGCACAGGTGAGGACCACCAAGGAGCTGAAGAACCAAGGCTTCTAAAGTTCAGGCAGGGCCCTTCCCCCAGAGTCTGGCTGCACAGGACCCTTGATTAGAGTGAGTGTGTACCCTGAATTGGGACTTCTGACAACTGCACTCATAGTCTCTGTGACTCCGAACCAACTACATGGCAATGGGTCAGGGTTAGTTACAACTAGCCTCCTAAAGAGTGAGAAAATAAACTTCTGCTCATTACAACCACCCCCTTGTGGTATGTCTGTTATAGCAGTGCTGAGAGACAAAGAGGACTCCGGTGTGATGCTGTAGGATCAGCAATGGACTGTGAACCACAAGGTCAGCAGTTCAAACCCACCAACTGCCTCTTGGAAACCCTACACAGGGTCATTATGAGTCAGAACTGACTCAATGGCACTTAACAACAACAACACCACAACAATGAGACAAAGAAAGGAGTCCTGGTGGCCCTGTGGGTGAGGCATTGGGCTGTTGGGCCACAAGGTCAGTGGTTCAAACCCACCAGCAGCTCCACTCCATGGGAGAAAAATGACTCTGTTTGCGCCCATAAAGATTTACAGGCTCGGAAATCCTATATAGGGTCACTATGAGTCGAATTTGACTCTATGGCAGGGGATTGGATTGGGTTGGAGTTTAGGAGACAAGGAAGGAAGCCGGTAGCACAGTGGTTAAAAGCTTCCATAAAGGCTACAACCGAGAAAGCCCACGGGGGCAGCGCTAGTTTGTCACATGAGGTCGCTTTGAGCCATAATCAACTGGATGGCGCCCAACACAAAGATTTTAGAGTAAGAACACGCAACTCTGCTTATCAGACACCAAAGTTCAAACACAACGGCCGCTTCACCCCCGCCCTGAGCTCACCGGAGCCCAGCACTTTAGAAGCCCGTGTTTGCGAATTACTTCTCCCCATGCCTTATCTCCCCAGCAGCCTGCAGTTCCCACACCACTGCACCCAGGGTCCCGAGAGGGCCTGTTGGGTACACAGTGGGGCCTCCATCACTGTTTGTGAACTTAGCACCAACAGCCGTGCAACTTTGAGAAAAGATGCTCGGCTCAGCAGTTGCCTTAAAACGGGTCACATATTAACTCCGTGCATCTGGCCCAGGGCACACTCTG